TGTCATATGGTTGGATTCACATCCTATTCTTCCTCGATCATGGAGATAGTAAAGTTATCCTCCAAGTTCTCTAGGTTGGTCGCAGGATCTATCAGGAGACTAACCAATGCTGCCCCTACTCTAGGTTCGTTGTCATCTGAGTCACCTTTCGTGCTCTATTCAGCTTTGATGCTTATTTCTGCCTTTTCTTCATCATCATTGTTCTGCAGCTGATGGTCAAAGAAGATCTCGAATCCGAGGACACGTTACTTCGAGGAATTTACCCAAGGCTCGGGAAAGCCACAAAAAGGGAAATCTTCCCCCTTCCAAACAAAAAAGCCATTCAGTGTCCCCTAGATTGGCCTGTGGATGAGTTCATAACGTTTTCCAGCGTGCTTGGCCTTGGCTCTGCCTCTCATTTCTTCCCTCTTTCTGATTCAGTCCTGTTTGATGGGCACATAGCCCAATCCAAAGGCATGTGGGTTATATGGCACATCTGTCAGTGCTGCAACACCTTTCCGACCATTCTTTTTGAGCCCCATTCCTAGAACATGTCGTGGTTTATTCATGAAGTAAATGGACTAGGCACTAACATACATGCCTTCGTCTGTGACCAGAATGGTCTATACTACCCGGGCTTCACCCATAGTAAATCTCAAGATGAATATATCCTTGTCGCCATGGTTGATTTCTAGCACTGATATAGTCACCTCTGACGGCAGATAGATGGATGAGTTCCCCAAAACAATTGTCACTCCTCCCCGATGAGGGTACTTCAACATCTGATGGAGAGTGGAAGAGATAAGCTTCACATGGTGCAACCAGGGCCTCCCTAATAGCAAATTGAAGGTAGCCGGCATATCCAAGACATGAAACTCAACCTCTTTCTCAGCTAGGCCCACCTAGACTCTGACTTGCACTGTGCCCATGACCTCTCTACTTGTGTTATCATACGTCTGTATTACTTGGGCTATGGGAACAAATTCTGATTGTTTGAGGCCAATTGCATATGCGGTATGGGAAATGTAACAACCCGGACTCAAGATTAACGATAATCCATGATTTAATATGCCTAATAAGTTATTAAGATCAGATTTTGAATTAATTGCATATGTGGTGTATTATTTATGTTTTGTCTGTTCATTGTAAGCATATTTGTTTGAGATTCTGCTATATTTTGCGAATTGAAGGCCTTATCGACATCCGGTTCAGAAATTGACTTGATTTATGTGTTAATAAGAATTTTTAGAATTTTATGGTAGATTCAATTGAAATTCAATTTAGAATGACTAAATTAGTTGACTTAATGTCCATATATTTGACCTTAAATAAGTACACTTCTACTCAAGCCTACATAAGGCTTATATACCTCACTTGAGCCTCTTTTTCATATCATCTTCAAGCCTCCAAGAGATAAAAACGTGGGAGAACGAGAGAGAGAGGGCAAGAATTGAGATTAAACCTTGAAGTTGGTAGGAACTTGCTTGGAAATTGGAGAATTGCTCAAATCATCATTAAACCCCAAGGAATTGAATACTCTAGGTGAGGATTTTGTCCTTAAGCTTTGCATTCTAGACATTAGTGGAGGAATTCAAAATATTAAGTGGTTAAACATGAGAATTGAGTTAAGGAAGTAAGAAAGATGATCATCCCATGCATACATGTGCATTTCATGGAGTTTTATTCTTGTTGCAAAAGAATTTCCTCATGCATGTGCTAAGTTTCACTTGATTTTGGGAATTCATCATAACTTATAACAATTAGGTTCATTTGATCATGTTTTGAGAAGCTCAAGATCAAAAAAATTCATGCATGTTATGTTCATGAAACAATACAAGAAATTGCATTTTTAGCAACTACTTTTGGCGACAACGTCAATTTTTCATTGCCAAAAGTATATATTTGGTGACATAGGGATCAATTGTGTTGGTAAAAGTGTACCTTTATTGACGCAATGTGCTAGCGTCGCTAAAAAAGCATAACATTCACTAAGCGCCAAAAGTTTTGGTTGGCGCCAAAATTTCAAAAATTTTAGCTATGAGGCTTATTTTTTAGCAACACAATGAGCGTTGCTATTAGTGTTCTTACTTTTGGCGATGACAAGTTGGCGTTGGCAAAGAGTTAACTACTTAGCGACGATAACACTATTCTTCGGTAAAAGTTTTGCAAGTGAAATGAGGTGATTTAGTGATTTATGTTTTTATTATAACTATGAAAGAGTTTTAAATATTCTAGTTACCGAATTGTAAAATTAAAGTGATCATCGAATTAGATCACAAAATAAACCCATCAAACCCAAACACACTCTAAAGTTGAGTTGGCTAATTTAAGATAATCTAAACTTTTTTAAAGAATGTGGTTGAATTATCAATTTTAATATGTTTGGTTTTATTTTTAGAAACTTGTTTCAATTTTTTTTTCTAAAAAACTAAAAAAATAAAATAAAAAATGGGTGAAAAAATAAAAAAAAATATTTTTGTATAATTTTATCTTTTAGGAGGTCATAAATAATTTTTAAAATTTTGAAAATATATTTTTGATTTTTATACTTCTCAAATTAGTTTTAATTAAAAAAAAAACTAAAATTGTTTTTATTTATTTTTTTATTTTTTTTTGGTGGTCTGCCTCTAAAAATTGAGGCGTGGAAAGTTTCGTCTCAAAATTCCCTCTTTTTTTTTTCTTTTTTTTTTTCAAACGATAGGTAAACCCCTCGTCAACCTGTACGATTTTCATTCTTCGGCAGCGGCAAGATTTCAACTTGGAAACGGTGCTCTCTCTTCGATTGTGAGACTGCTTGGGCCACTACAAGAAATTACACTTTTGGAGAGCAAATTTGATGAGTAAAAGATCACTAGGAAGGAAATAAAGCAAGAAATTTACAAACACACTATAAATAAATAAATAAATAAACGCCTTGGGCACTGTGTCGTGAGATTGGTTTTTCAATCCCACCTATATTGAAGGCATCCCTATCCCACCATTTTGTAGGACTAACAATCCCTTTGGAGCGGCAATCCTAGAGCCCATAAACCAAATGGGTCCACTTCAATCCTAAGTCAATCCCACCCATGTATCAGGATAACAAACATGACCTTACTGAAAATTGATGCAAAGATTATGACATGGCTGAATTGATGATGAGTATCCAATTCAAATCTAATTACGGCACCGGCCCTCACCTGCTTCTTGGGCCCAGCATCTTAAGGCATTGTTGAAATTATTGTCAACTACCTCAGTCTTCATTCTAATTGAAAGATACTTTGCAAAAGATAAATTTAAATCATTAAATTTATAATTAAAAATAAGGTTTTGCTAATGACTAATATTAAAGATTTCAAAAATTTTACTAAAAATTTTATTAAATATCTCACATAGGTGTAGAATCCACACAAAGTGAGTCCCATGTGAATCCCACATCCATGAGACATTTGGTAGAATTTTTAATAAAATTTTTAAAATCTCTATCATTTTTATTTGCTAACAAGAGCTAAACACAAGTAACAGGTAAAAAATTTTAAAAATAACAGACACATTTTATTAAATTTAATGCATTCTTACTGAAATTAATATAATTTTTAATAATTTTACATATTTTTTTAATACACTTTATACGCACTTCTTAATATTAAACAATGCATATATAACCCTTATTAGCATAGGGATATTTTTATTGAAAGTCAAATAAATACCCACAATAATTTATAGTATTTTTTTTAATTTTTTAATTAAAATATATAATTGACAAACGAGAGCTAAATATGTAATGGAGGCGCACAACACATGACCAATTGTGTTGGCAAGAAAATGTTCATGTTGATACCACTACAATATTGTCTCCTTTGTAATATACTTTTGTTTCTCTAGACACATGCACAATGACACCTCTCAATTATTACTAAATATGTAACGGAGGCACACAACATATGAGCAATTGTGTTGGAAAGAAAATGATGCTGTTGATACTTTTACAATATTGTCTCGTTTGTAGTCTACTTTTGTTTCTCTAGACATATGCACATTTGTGCATGTTCATGTTGACCAATCTCCTGTGAAAATTAGAAATAAGAAGATGAAAAATTTTAGATGAAACTGATTAATACTAGAATTGAAATAAATAATTGCAGTAAATAAAATATTAGAAACTTACTATGGCGAAGAAGTTCATAAAGTCGAAACGAACGAGTCTAGTATTTAACACTATCTTCTTAAGATAGAATTCGCTCTCGCACTAGTGCCTTCGAGTATTTATGGCGTCCGTCTCCCAAGATACAACAATCAAACTCTCACTGAAGTAGCAAAACCACGGTGAGCCTAGCGATCCAAACTGTGTTTATATCTCTTTCTGTCGTAATACAATAATTGAGGAAAAGAAAACAAGAAGCAAAGAAGAATGAAATTGATGTGCCTAGAATGGCAGGAGGGACTATTTATAGAGTGGATGATGACTTTTCGGTGAGGGTTGCATCCCTTCGGAGACCAGTAACAATAGGGAAGAAGAAGCTAAACAGAGGCATTGTTTTGGGAGGATGAGGCTATAACGTTTAAAAAACGTTGGGATTGTTCTGAGAAATATTTTGAATTCAAATTTGAAATGAAAATTCAAAAGAACTTGGCCCAAAAAGATAAGACCTAGGCTGAACCATCTCCATGCACCGGAATGACTGCCAGGCGGGCGTGCGATGATTTTTTGATGTAAACCCACTTGTCCATAGTCTTGAGTCTAAGCTCATCCATTACTCCTCCCTTCACAAAACTTGGATGCTCTTTGAGGCCCAAACCCAAATGCCAACTTGGATGATCATCACTCGGACCCACCTAGAAAGACATGTAGGTCCTACTTTTATTTTGGCTTAAACTTAACCAAAAAACTATGAGGCAAAATCCAATTTTCCAACAGTTCGTGCACACGCATGTTACACATTTGGGGCTCTCTCTCTCTCTCTACATATATATATATATATATATAGCATCTTTGGTTGCTTTTGTGGAGAAAGAGAGAGCTCAGATTGAGAAGATACAAAATGCAGCCAAGGGAGAGTGGTAGCTCATCAAAACTTGATCGAAATAAAATTGAGAAAAGCCGAAGATTGCAACTCAAAGATCTCTATTCCAAGCTTGGTTCTCTCATCCCTAACCAAGCCTCAGAGGTACTCTCTCTCTCTCTCTCTCCCTCCATGGAGAAAATATATACAACTTTCAATTTGATAATACACTTCATGCATGGTGAACTATGATGCCAATCCAAGCAGAGCAACTAAAGCCCCACTGTATATATATTTTTTTGACTTGCTTTTACAAAAAGTTATCTACGCAGCGTTGACTCGTGACGCTTTTTTCCATTGCAAAAAATTCTCCATTGTTGCCTCCCGGTGCAGGTAGTTTGCATCTTCATTTCAGTCTCTTTTTTTTTTTTTATTTAAAAAAAACATCAATATTATTGTCACTATTCAATAATTTCTTATTCGAAACCTAAGCTTCACTGTTAAAGTTACAACCGCAGTTTACCGGCCTTTATGGCCTTGGTCTGAAAATAGACTTTTTTTCCTAGTTGATCCTCAGAGCTGGGTCTTCTTTTCGGACTATTACAAATATGAAAATAATGAAAATAATCGGGATTAATTATTATTATATCTAATATTTACTTGTAACGTAATATATTTTTGACATATCATCAAACTTAATATGAATTTTTTTTTTTTTGGATAGAAAGGACTGCCATTACGTGATATGTTGGAGCAAGCCACCAAGTATGTGGTGGAGCTGAAACAGAATGTGGAGGAGCTGAAGCAGAGGAAGGCGGCCCTCAAAGGCGATGAGGGTGGTTCTAAGGACGAGAGGTTTCCGGTCTTGATAGTACGACACATGGGTTCAACTTTGGAGGTGAATTTGTGTAACAATCCTGTCCTGTACTATGTTAATTAATCATGATTATGTTTGTAATTTTGTATTTAATTTGAATTTGGGTGCTAATTACATGATTATATATGATTTTGGCTTTGTATCTGTTCACCGCAGGAAAATCAGTTAGAATCTATGCTTTGAACTGAAAATTGAAGGCTTTGTCGGTCACAGAAACCGAAATTGACTACGTCATTGTGATTGGCGTAATTTTTGGAGTTTACGGTGAAATTTAATTAGAAATTAAATTGGATCAAAATAATTAGACTAAACTGATTGAATTGGGTACAATTAATTAGCCTTAATCAAGTCCAATTAGATAAGCCTATAAATAGGCCCCATACACACTTAAACTCACCACTTTTGAGCTCAAAATATGAAAACTACACTCTAGAGAGAGAGAGGGGGGGGGCGGATTTAGAGAGAGAAAAGGGCTAACAGTGTAGATTTTGCAAGGAAATTGGAGAATTAAGTGCATTAACTCAAGGATTAGCTAAAGTTTGAAGAATTGGAGCTCCTAGGTGAGTAAATTCATGAGTACGAGTTTGTGATTTTGTGAATTCAAGGTTAAATGGTAATCAAGAACGTGAATTGAGTTGATTATGATGAGATTGAAGTTTATATGCACATGCATGTTTAGAATTGCCATGATTCTTGCATAATCAAGCATGAGGTATGTCGAACATGATGAATTGAGCACCAAATCATACATGCATGCATATTCCTAATAGATTCCATGTTTTTTTAACATCATTTGTGCTATTTAAAATGGAATTAGAGTCAATAACTGACATGCATGAATGATCCATGGAGATATGAATTGAATGAAGTTAAATGCATGAGTTTTGAAACTTATGAAGGGAACTCAAGATGATTTTGTGAATATACCATGATTTTGAACAATTGGCCTCATGTTGTTTATGCCCTCATGATATATAATGTGTTTCCAAATTTTTGAGCCAAAAACTTGAGTTCTGGGCCTTTGAATGTTGAGTTTGAGCTTCAAGAACGGTTCTGGAAATTTCAAAATTTGGCATGTCCGCTCGAGCGGGGAAAGCGCCGCTCGAGCGTGAAATATTAGTTTCTAGAACTTTTGTAGACTTTGATGTCCGCTCAAGCGGGGAGAGTCACGCTCGAACGTAAGTCACACGTGTCGACTCTCAGCTCGAGCGTCTGAATTCACACTCAAGCGTAAAAATGAGGGAACCAGTACTTTTGCAGAACAAAGGGGTCCGCTCGAGCGGCGAAAGCCACGCTTGAGCGGGGAGCCCTATTTCTGAAATTTTGAAAAGATGTTTTGCATTTCATTTTCCGTTCTCTTTCATTTCTAAGCACTCTTAGGCATACATTGAACATTATAAGTGAGTTAAAGAGATAAGAAAGAGGCCTAAGAGGAATATGTAAATTAAGAGCTGATTGAATAGCTGTTGACCCAATATGTATTATATATTGTGTAGGGTCAAGCACAAGGGCAAATCCATCGGCGGAACACTGTGAGTAATATCTTAGTAAAGATATTTTCAAATATGTTTCTTTCCAAATGCTACTTCGGTATAAGCTTCATGAATTCGTTGATTTGAAATATGAATGAGTATTCTATATGCCTAATTTTGTATAAGGTCGTTTGATAAGTTTGATATATTTGAATTGGGCCTAAGACCGTTGTCCATTTGATATGTCCGAATTGGGCCTAAGGCCGTTTTCCATTTGAAATGTTTGAATATAAAGATATGCCAAAGGCCGTTTGAATACCGTAATGAGCCAAAGGCCATTTGAACATGAGCGTAATGGGCCAATGGCCGTTTGAATGAAAAGGGATCATGATCATGAATATGAAATACACATAGATATAAATATAAAGAGAATGGGCCCAAGACCGTTTGATATGTTTGAATTGGACCAAAGGTCGTTTTGTTTTATATAAGAACTGGACCTGAGGTCGCTTTGCATATGGATATGATGTGTTGGACCCGAGATCGTTTTGCTTTGTTAAGATTTGTAAATCTGATGTGAATGAGAATAGTGGTTCAAATGTTTACATTATAAGTATGACTCATTTATGAACGAATCTCATTCATTAACCTCTTTATTTTGATATTATTCACTGGGCGTTAGCTCACTCTTATTTATATGTATGTAGGTGAGTAAAGGGACGTTCAACTCCAGCCTTAGTGGAATTTAAGAAAGGAACCCGAGTTTTGTGAAGTCAGCCTAGGTGCCTTACGCAAGAGGCTTTGTTTGTGATCTTTTGTATTTTTTTTGCTAGTTTATTGGTCATGATAGACCGTTTATGTATATAAGCTTTTGGTTTAGCTGACTATGTGTTTGAATGATCTTGGGTATACAAGATATTAACTACTGATATGTGGTGTGAGTTATTACTAAGTATATGCGAAATGTTTTGATATGCCATGTAAGTATAGCTCAGTGGACAAAATTTTTAAGTTTGTTTCCGCATCTGGCCCCATATTATTAATTATTAATTGATATCAGGTTTGAGGCCGTAGGTAATCTCATGATTACTGGCTGATTATGACCTTAATCTATAGGAACGGGTTCGGGTCATGACAATTTGAGTACTGGGTTGGACAAGAAATTCAAGTTACATGAAGTTTTGAGTGTTCTCAAGGAAGGACTTGAAGTTGTAAATGCTAGTTGCTCTACTGTGGCAAACCAAACCTTCTACACTATTGCTCAGGTGTATATATATATATATGTAAAGTTCTATAGTCCTAAAAAAAATCCGAAAAATACATTTTACAGTTAAGATTAATTATCCCACTATATAAAAAATAGATCTCAACCATGCATCACTATTCTAGGTCAATTTCTGATCCATATTTTTGGATGCATAGACTCTCTCTTTGAAGTAAGAAAATCTACTTATTGGCTTAGATTTGGGTCAACTGTATGTTTTTTTTTTTTTTTTTTATAATAAAAAAAAGGTTATATTAAATATATGGGAAGCAACTTCTCTCGCATATGTTATTGAACTAGAAAGGTCTAATTCGGCTCATTATAAATTCAATAATTTGAATAGTTCATCTTGTTAAGTTTATTGTGCACATTATTTATACTAAAAAAGTAAGTTGATTTAGTCATTTGATCATATCATATTTGTCTACAAAAAATAAACAAATTGTATAATTTTGAAGATAGTCCGTTTATGTTATTTTTATTTTTCCAAACAAATATAATCAAATCAAATGGCTACCAATAATATTCGATCAACTTGATTTTTTGAATGAATAATGTGTTTAACGAGCTCCACAAAATGAACAATTCAAATAGTATGATGGGTTGTCTAGGAGCTGCTTTGTTGTATGTATATGTATATACATTACACATTTTAATTACACTTTTCGAGTAATCATTCACTTTCTAAATTAATAAATAATTAATTAGAAAAACAAAATGGGTGGGTTTAGGATTATGGTTGATTTTTTTGGTGATTTTTTGACTGTTTAATTTTTTTATAAATTAAAAAAATTGATGTGTTTAGAAAGTTGTTAATAAATAATTTTTTTTTAAAAAAAATTAATGCGATATTTAACTTTTTCGGCTGGTGAAAAATAATTTATTGAAATTTAATTTTTTTTTCTTAACAACCCAAACAGTCACTTTAGTCTTCCTTTTACCAATTTTAAAATATAAATAACACATATTTTAATATATAAATTTAACCATCTCATTAAAAATATTTCGGAAAAATTACATTTTAGTGTATATTTTCAAATCAATAATACAATGTACAAACATTAAAATTCGCATTTTGCACCCACAAATGCATTCACAATGACGTAACAAAGATGGTGAGTCTCATATAATTGAGTCACTACAAAAAATTAAGATTTAGAGATCAAAATTTAGGAACAAAATTATTTTTTAGGGACTAAATATTTTTGTTGCGAAAAATGTCGTTATTATATATTTAGCAACAAAAATTAGACATTAGTGATGAATTATTATCTTTTTGGGACCAATTTTTTTGTCTTAAAAAATAAACCATTTTGAGACCAAATTATTTCGTCCCTAAAAGTCTATTTATTAGTGACATTTTCAAAATTTTCTCGCTACTACAAAAAAATTCACTTTTAGCAGCGGTCAAAACTATCCCTAAAACCAGGAAAAAACGTCGCTAAAAACTAGAAGACCTTTACCCGCGGTTGAAATAGCGACGGCCAAACCGCCGCAATAGCCCCGTCGGCATATCCTTATAGTGACGTTTTCCTCAAACACTGGTATAGTTATTTTTATTGCAACGATCAATGTAGTGACAGTTATAAATGTCGCTATATCTTAAATTTACCTATTACTTGCTAACTTATAGCGACGGGTCGACTGCTGCTATATTCTTCACTTTTGCGACATTTTGTGAACCGCTGCTATATTTTGACTTTATTCCATCAGTTTTATGCTGTCGCTATAGCTATAGTATTCTTTTTGAATTTTATTTACAGTGACGGTTATTAACCGCGATTATAGGCTATGTTTACTATTCAATTACCAATAATATATAGCTTGAAATTTTCAATGATTTACTAACCATTAATGGTTGTCTCTCATTTATCCCTACTCACATTATATATCTATAAAAACACTATTTTATTCTAATGGCTCAATACTCAATAATTGTAAAAGGTAAGAGAGTCTGCATTTTTATAATCCCAAAATATCCAAAACATCTCAATTAAAAGGTTCATTATATAATCCTGTAACACAAAATAGATCCAATATTTCTAGCAAACTAATAGCCCACACCATAATCTAAAAGGTACATATAAACTTGTCACATGACAATAGTACTCAAAAATATTACTCATGACGCCATTTTATAAAGACCATAAAAAATGTTCAAATCGAGAAATGATGTCCATTGTTTGATACTTCATATTGTCTTATTTCCTGCAATAAAAATGATTGAATGAGCAGAAGTATCATTTTCAATTTCAAAATCTATAAAAAAAGTTTAGACTATAAATAATTCTCGGACAAGTCTTATTTTTTTTTGGTAAGTATGTGGTTTACATATCAAAAAATAAAGATTACAATGAAGTTGAAGATCATATTTACATATTAAGATAGATCAGCCATTAAGAGAGAAATCAACAACAAATGGACAAAAAAAATACAGTAATGTAGAAATGTAAGGTGGCTAAAGATTTAAGAAACAAATTGTTCTCAATTTGTGTAGTTAGTTCTTGTTGTTCTTTAAGCATTGCGAATTGATTTCTAAGATTAGATATGGGTGAAGACATCTAAAGGGCTTAGAACATGTAAGTAAGCAACTAACAATTATTAATGTCTAGGAAATTATATCTAAATATGTGCCCACCTTGCCTCTGCTATTACTCCTAAGTATAGAACTTTGATGAATCTCAAAAAAGAGAGAGTAGAGTTTGTGCTTTCCTTGTCTGAAAGAAATGGAAAAGATACATCAGTCCATACAATAACCTCAATATTTATGAGTAGAAAACAACTACTGTAAAAGTTATACATATTAGAAAGAAATCCAGAACAGATTTAAAAGAAAAAAATGCTATCATACCTCAAATTTCACAGATCCAAGATCAAGCTTTTACTTCACTTCTGTGTTTGGTTGGGGGATTTGGAGAGGGATTTGGAAAGGGAAATGGAAAAGGTAGGTGAAATGTGAATAAATCATGCCTATATTTCACATAGTTTCACACACCTTTTCCCTTTCCCTTTCCAAATCCCTCCCCAAATCCCTCAACCAAACACACCATAAGAATACCAGGCTCTGAAATGCCAAATCAGATGTGAAAGTAAAATTGTGAACTAACAAACACTATTTTTCTGCAAATCTTGCAATATAAATTATTTATTTTGTTTAAAAGAAGAGAAACATCAGAAAGAGAAGGAAGAAAGTAGGAGATATCAATGCAAATAATTACAGAAAAGCCAGACCCACATAACATATTACATTTAATTGTCTACGGTTGACAAAGATTTGTGTGCCCATATATTCTCGGATAATGTATATGTTAAGTCACCAATTGTCCCAAAAGCTTAGGCTATTCAGAAATGGGCCCAACAACACCATAATGCACCTACAATTACTCGTCATACAGTTTGGTTATAAATACCAATAATTCTACAATGACCACATTTGTATACCCTGCAGTGCTTACCATCTCATTTGTCACCACTGCATTGTATTGGTAACAAACATGAGTGGTGGCCCCTTTAAACCCATGCAATGATGACACATATGGTAAGCACTTATTGTATACAAATACCATCATTGTAGCATTATTGTATAAATATTGACATCTTCATCTTAACTCATTCTACAATTTACAACAATAAATAAATTTGTACAATCCCATTTAGAATAAGATAAATAAAGGATACCCATTAGACAAAAATATTCCTAGCTGGGCCAGCTATGTCAGTGAGAGCTCAATTTGAAGTCTAGATGTTAGTCATAAGTTCATCCTACATGGACCAGGTTAAATGTTATTTTTTACCTATCTCGCATTAAAATATCAAAATGATGGCCAAAATTTTTACGGAAATAATACTTAGGGTCTGACAAATTAATAAAAAATAGGAAGAAAAAAAAAATTACCGGAAACCAAAATATCAAAGATTAGTCTCCAAAGAGAGAGAGAAAGAGAGAATTTAATTACAATCCAAACTAAGCTTCAGAGTTGGAAAGCAACATTGCTATTAAGGGCAGGTATTGAGGCCCTCATTTGGGCAAACCACTTATATCAATGTGGGGGTGGAGAACTACATGTACACCCCAGCTTGTTGTCAGTGCTTATCAAGTCTCTAACATGCAGAAGGTAATATAAATATTGACCAATGTATCTCCTTCTCTTTCTTTTTTTCCTTGTTTTTTTTTAAAGCCTGTGAATCCCCCGGACTAATTGTATAAATATTGACATCGTCATCTTAACTCATTCTACAATTTACAACAATAAATAAATTTGTACCATCCCATTTACAATAAGATAAATAAAGGATACCCATTAGACAAAAATATTCCTAGCTGGGCCAGCTATGTCAGTGAGAGCTCAATTTGAAGTCTAGATGTTAGTCATAAGTTCATCCTACATGGACCAGGTTAAATGTTATTTTTTACCTATCTCGCATTAAAATATCAAAATGATGGCCAAAATTTTTACGGAAATAATACTTAGGGTCTGACAAATTAATAAAAAATAGGAAGAAAAAAAAAATACCGGAAACCAAAATATCAAAGATTAGTCTCCAAAGAGAGAGAGAAAGAGAGAATTTAATTACAATCCAAACTAAGCTTCAGAGTTGGAAAGCAACATTGCTATTAAGGGCAGGTATTGAGGCCCTCATTTGGGCAAACCACTTATATCAAGGTGGGGGTGGAGAACTACATGTACACCCCAGCTTGTTGTCAGTGTTTATCAAGTCTCTAACATGCAGAAGTTAATACAAATATTGACCAATGTATCTCCTTCTCTTTTTTTTTTTTCCTTGTTTTTTTTAAAGCACAAAATATTTAGATTAAAAAAAAAGTGAATGAAATTTGTGTTTGGGTAAATGGAACCAGGTTTGCACACTAAAAATAATTGCACAGTACAATGGCCGATTCAATAACATTGTTTCTATGTCTAAAATTAGGCTCTAACTGAATAGATATGCCAAAAGCCCACTGCCCAAGTTGCCTTGGGCCTGACTATTAAGTGCCCCATCGTGTCGAGGAGGGGGGCTCCAAAAGAATTCATATAATAGCCATATTAGCAATTGTCAACATAGCACTAGCCAGAAGAAACATTACCATTGCTTGAGGAGTTACTAGCAATCTATTTTTACTATAACAAAATCAAATAAATAGCAAAGAATATTAGTGAAAAGTAAAATCACAAAAGAAATTGCTGTTCTTGTGTAATGGTGTTAAGTAAAAATATAACAGAGTTTCTACAAACAATATGAAAACAACAAAACATACAAGAACAATAAGAGTAAAAAGGGAATAAAGCCATAACAATGAGATTCAATTCATAATTTACCACATGCAATTGACTCTGTCGATACAGAAACAAGTTGGCCCTCAACTCCATCCTCTCTTACAGGAGTATACAGTGCCACCAGTCTGTATCCCACATCATCAACATTAGATTTGTACATTCTCATAGTCTCCTTTGCAATATCACACCATGTTTAGCGAGCAAACATCTCAACTGAAATATTGAAGTTGGATCTTTTGATGAATAATTCTAGAAACTTTACAAGTGTCGATGCCTTCATCTAGAGTCATAAACTTACCCCACCTTTTGTTATTGACAACCCTAAGACGTGAAGATATTTGTTTCTTTTTAAATAAAGAAAGACGTATTGTTGTGAACGTAAAAAAAAAGTCTTTTTAAATAAAAAAAAACGAAAGTAAAAAATCAATGAAGGAATGCATTAGTCAAACAAGCAGGAAACTTGCAACCAGAAAACTTGCATCTTTATTTATTTATCTCATGGTTCAATTTATGCACACTTTCATAAAAGCAATGACAATAAAAAGAGGCAACAATTTTCTCTAATCACATTATTAAGCCAACAAAACATTACAAACTGTGCACTAAATTCATTGATAACAATTTTCTCCAAAAAAATAAAAAATAAAAAATATAGAACAAACAGAACAAAAATAAACAGAAGGGTAGACACTATTACTCCATTGTGGCATTTTATCAAATATCTAGCATAATTAATGATTTCTCAAGCAAGAGATTTTACTGTGTAGTATCAACAACAATCCATTCACTTCACTAATTACATTTGTTAAAATATGAATATCATAGATTATCAAATATATATGTGTGTGTGTGAATATCATAATCAGAATGCAAAACATGTTAATCAATCTATTTTACAAATTATTTTCCCAAATCAAAATCATTCAAAATGTTCATGAAATACTTCAGAGTAGAGGAGTTTTGGAGATCTTAACAATGAATTCCATGGACCCAAACTTGTTCGAAGTTGCTTTATGTTTTTATGGGATTCTTCATCTTCATGATTGTTTCATGGGTATAGTGTTTGGGAAATGACAGTAGATACCAGAGTTAAATCGAACAAAGCAAAGTGAAAGGGTTTTGCTAATTGGTATGGAACGGGTAAAGAACATGAAGTGGGGTGTAATTTGAAACAGAGGATGAGGGAGGAAGAAGACAGTGAGGGAGAAAGAAAAATTGAGACAGTAGAAGAAAGAAAGAGGGGTATAGAAAGAAATTGAGAGACAGAAGAAAGAGGGGGATAGAGAAAGAGAAATAGAGAGAGTGGACTAACCTTGAAGTCACAGTGGTGAGGAAGCTTGATGTCGTCAACACGCCGTGGTGGAGGATGAACGAAGGCTCTGATACTTCGCAAAAAGGAGTTTTGATAGACTAGGGCACGAATTGTAATCAAGGAGAAGGAGATGAACTTTTTTTTATTTTTTTTTATTTTTCTTTAACATATCAGAATTTCAGTCCAAAAATTAAAACATTCAATTTTGCGCAAAATCAGAAATCTATTTGGCGGGCCTTCTTATTTTCCTTGGCTTTTTGTAACGTTTGAGGTCAAACCGCCACTATAAAAAAATATATAGTAGCACTTTAGGAAAAAAATGCTACTAAAAATCTATTTGGCGGGCCTTCTTTTTCGTGTTTTTTTTTTTGTTTTTACCGATTTTTTTAAATATTTTAAGCAATTTATTTATTTATTTTTTACTTTTTAGACATACCTAACATAAATATACCTAAAGAGTAAAAAAACGTGAAAAAAACTTTTAAAAAGTCACTAAATATCAAAATATAAAAAAAAATACAAGAATTAAGTACATTTTTTTTCTAAACTATGTTATTATTATTTGTGTTTATTTAAACTGTTTTATTTTAGTGCTGTTTCCTCCTTCCTGCTTCTGTGTCTCTTTTGACTCTGATACCAAAAGGGACACGAAAGTAGGAAGGAGGAAACAGTATTAAAATAAAACAGTTTAAATAAACATAATAAAAATAAAACAGTTTAAATTAACATAAATAATAATAAAACAGTTTAAATAAACATAGTTTAAATAAACATAAATAAAACTTACAATTGTTTACTGGAATGAAACAAACATTTCTTAAAAATACATAACTTGAAAACAAACTTGAAAATAAAATTACAGAGATAGCTATTGTGATAACCCTGTTCCGTTTTGTGCTAATTGGTCCTTAATATGAATATGATTATGTGTTTAATATGATTTTGTATGCAAGCATGTGAAAATATGTGGCTTTGAATTTCTATCTGTTTACCGTAGGAATATCTGTTTGATTATCTGCTTTCGAAATTAAATTGAAGGCCTTATCGGACATCGAAACCAAAATTGATTGTGCCATTGTGATTGACATAATTTTTAGAGCCTACGGTGAAATTTAATTGAAAATTGATTCGGATCAGATGAAATTGATTTAATTAAGGAACTTGTGTCCAATTACTTTAATATTATTATAATGGAATTAGTGGAAATTGTTGTATAAGGGCACTACATCCTCATTTCTTCTCCTTTGTTGCATTTTGGCTGATCATAAACTCAAAGAAAGAAGAGAGGGTCGGCTTAGAGAGAGAGAGAGAGAGAGAGTGTAGGAGATTGAGGTTTTGGTCTTGAGGCCTGGAGATTTTGGAAGATTACTCAAGAATTTGCTATAGATTGGAAGAATTGAGCCTCTAGGTAAGTGAATCCATGAGTTTAATGTGTAATTTTATGTATTCAAAGTGGATTAATGATCAAGAGCAAGGATTGAAGTGTAATTGAATTGGTTTTGTTGAATTGAGAGCCAATATGTGCATGCATGTAAGAAATTATTTTGAATTTGCATGTTTGAGCTTGAAATACATGATTCATGTAGAGTTTTGGTTAAAGCTCATGTTATGATCACCATTTGTATCATCTAAGTTGAGAATGAGAATAATACATCACATGTATGTACAATTTATGAGGATAGGAGCTTTGAATACATGAATGTGTTATGATGAAAATGAGTTTGGTGTAATTTGAGCCATGCATGTGATTATTTTGTGAAATTGAGCTCCATTATGTTGTAATTTAATGTTTGTACCATGTTAGTACACGAATATGTGAAGTTTGAGCTGAGATTATAAGTTTGGAACCTTTGGAGGTCGTTTTGAGCTCAAGAACACATTCTGGAAAACCCAGAAATTTGATGTTCGCTCGAGCGGGGAAATCGCCGCTCAAGCTTGAATTTCGTGCTCCCAGTATTTTCTGCAGACCATGATATCTGCTTGAGAGGGGAAGTCCACGCTCGAGCGGGGAGCTATGTAAGATGGACTTCCGCTCGAGCATCCAAGTTCCACGCTCGAGCGTAAAAATGACATAACCAGTACTTTTGCAGACCTCATGGGTTCGCTCAAGTGGGGAAGTCCACGCTCGAGCGGGGACCCTATTTCTGAAGATTTTGTATGATCGTTCTGTGTTTCGTTTTCCGTTCTCTTTCACTTGCAAGCACTCTTAGGCATGCATTAAGCATTGTAATTGAGTTAATGAGACAAGAATGAAGCCTAAAGAGGAAAATGTGAATTTAGAACGGATCAAATTGTTTATGACCCTTTTTGTGTTCATGGAATGTGTAGGGTCAAGCTCCAGGGCAAATCCACAAACCGATCACTGTGAGTAATATCCTAACAAGATATTTAAAATATACTGTTGTCCAATTGTTTACTTCTATGTAAATTTTGTAAGTTCATTAATTTGAATAGTGGACACCGATTGATATGAACGATTGGGCCGAAGGCCGATTGACATGAATGATTGGGTCGAAGGCTAATTTATATGAATGATTGGGCCGAAGGCCGATTGACATGACTGATTGGGCCGAAGGCCGATTGATATGAATGATTGGGCCGAAGGCCGATTGACATGAATGATTGGGCCGAAGGCCGATTGACATGAATGATTGGGCCAAAGGCCGATGGACACGAATGATTGGGCCGAAGGCCGATTGGCATAAATAATTGGGCCAAAGGCTGTCTGCTGTAACTATTTCAAAGATTGCTTAGGTATCTACCTTATTTGATATTATTCACTGGGCTTTCGCTTACGCTCATTCATGTACATGTAGGTGAGCCAAGGGACGTCCAGAACCAGCCTGGGTGAAATTGTGAGAAACAGTCAGAGTTTTGAAGAGTCAACCCAAACGTCTCACGCGCGAGACTGTCTTCGCCTTTTGTCCTTTGTTTATAGTTTTTGTTATGTTAGCGAAAGCATTGGACTACTTTTGTATATAAGTCTTGGGTTCGACGGACGTAAACTTGTATGATCCTGTATGCACAATGTTCTGTGTTGGTATATATTTTGATGTGAGTTATTAATACATAAATGTTTAGAATGTGATGGTGTGCATATAAGCACAGCTCTATGGATAAAGTTTTAAATTTGCTTCCGTTTGGCCCCTTTACTCTGATGAGTTTTGTTTTAGTAGTTTGAGGTCGTAGGTAATCTTGTGATTATTGGCCGGTTATGGCCTTAACCCATAGGGGCGGGTTCGGATCGTGACAGCTATTTTTCTTAAGGAATGAGCACTCTCAATTTTTTCTAACTCTGCCGTATTCTTGACTGAAGAGGCTCTTTTATAGATGAAAAGAATTACTGTGAGCCTTGTGAAGAGCTACTGTGAGCCTTGTGAAGGAATCTGACGTTGATAGAAGCACATGGGAGCTGTTTGCAACTTTGGGTGTGTGACTAAAGTTGATGGCTGCCTTTGATTGTTCTGAATTTGTCGGTGGGATGAATGATGATGAATGATGAATAGTAATGTTGACCTTTTGATGAATAGTGAACAGTAAATTTGACTTTTTTCACTATTTATTGCTTTTTGAAGAGGCATGTGACTGAGGGAATCAATATAGATATATATATATATATATATCAGCAGCTTTTCTCAAAAGAAGAGTATTGATTGAAGCTGATAATTATAGCTATATAGAATCCAATGACTATATTATGCATATGGGTCCTGAGTGTAGACACTCCATTTTTGACCGCCTTTAAGACTTGGGCACTACGATGGCTTACTTAGTGATGCAGGCTATGCTATGCAAAGGTTCCATTTCTTCGGCAAGAGGAGAGTAAAATCCCAACTTCATACCCCTTTTGGACCAAAACAATCTTAATCAAAAGATTTTAGACCTTGAAACCCTCTCTTTCAAAATGTTTTGGAATTAAAGTTCCTACGATGTTCTGACGCTTGCATTTCGTTAAATGTCGCGCTTTTCGGTAAACCGAGCAAGGACAAAGTGAAAATGAATGAAAGAGAGATGAAATATTTGAAAAATATTTCAAAACACCTTGCTTAGGGGTTTGGAGTTGAAGAAAACAAGAGGAGAGGGAAGAAAACTAGTTGAGGAGAAGTTCGGCATGAATCCGGAAAGGATCAAAACTGAGCGGTTTCACCAAAACAGGCATAAATTTTTTCACAATTGGAATTTTGATGCAAGGCTTCCACCATTGGAAGCTTACTTCCGGGGCTTCAATTTGGACACAAGAATGACCTGAAAAAGAGTCCAGATGAAGGAGTTATGGCCATTTGAAATTGGACCTGGAAAGCAGAATTTTGCCTGTCGACCAGAAAAACTAGCTGGCCGATCAGAAGAAAAGTGGAAGGCCTCCCTACATAGGTCCCTGCTCGAGCGTGAACTTCCCCGCTCGAGCGGACATCCATGTCTGCAAAAATACTGGGAGCACAAAATTCACGCTTGAGCGGCGGTTTCCCCGCTCGAGCGGACATCGAATTTTATGGGTCTTCCAGAACATGTTCTTGAGCTCCAATTCAACATTCAACCAACATTTCTTGCATGCAGTAGCTCAAACTTCAAATACACTTGTACTAACATGGTATAAACCCCAAATTAAAATCCAATGAAGCTCAATTTCACAAATAAATCACATGCATGTCCCAATCTTTCATTAAACTCATTCTAACATAACAAATTCATGCATTCAAGCGCATATTCTCATGAATTGTACATGCATGTGGCAAATTACTCTCATTCTCAGCTTAGATGATGAAGAGAAGGTCAAAATAAGAGCTTTAATCAAAATTTCCCATGGATTATACAATTTGTGCTCAAACATGCAATTTCAAAACAAATCTTCTCATGCATGTGCATATGGACTACCAAATCAACAAAACCAACTCAAATCATGTTAACTCTTACTCTTGATCACCCAACTAGCTTGAATACACAAAATCACAAGCTCAAACTTATGAACCAAGGGGTGATTACTCACCTAGGAGCTTAATCCTTACAATTTATGGTAAATTCTTGAGTGTGTCTTCAAAATCACCAAGCTTTGAGGCCAAAACTCAAATTTCCTTCACCCTCTCTCTCTCTAGCCGACCCTCTCCTTTCCTTTGAGTTTATGATCAGCCAAAATGTAACCAAGGAGGAGAA